AAAACCAGAAGCCATTCATTTACGAATGTGATTGCACTTTAGTTTACATATTTAAATGTTCAGATATTAAGATTTGAATGAGGCAAAATAACATGCTTTTTCTCTCAAATATATTGTTTTAATCATTTGTTTCAGATGTACTGTAATTATTTTCTCAATAAAAATTAATTTGGTGTTCAAAAAGTCTTTTCTCAAACTTGAGTCTTGAAAAAGAGGGGGTCGTCTTAGAATCAGGGCCGTCTTATATTCGGGCCAATACGGTAATAAAGCTCAGTAAAAACGACCCAGCCTTGATGAAACAAATGACCAGAACTCCAAGCTGTGCTGACCAACAGAGTGCCTCCTGACCACTAAAAATCTACTTCAATGCGAGAGTGGCTGCCTTTTCAGCAGCTCCTATACTTTTTGTTCTTCTACTTTCTTCCTTTCATAACTTTGCTGCTGTAAATTGGGAATTGTTCCACTGTGAGACGATTAAAGGTTTTCTTATTCTTATGATAATGTTCAGTGTTCCTATGCATGTTGTTTGCAGCTGCGTTGTCTCGGGCGTGGCCCGCCTAGCACTGACACAGCCTGGAAAGTGTGTACTATTTGCATTGAAGAGAATAGTGGGACCAGCTGCCAGACTGCGAACACAGCCATCTAAGCATTTCTGTATGTGTACACTGGAATGCCTTAATGAGCTCGAGGACCATATAGCTGCAGCGCAACCCCATTCAGCGCTCAAACAATCCCGGTTCTCAGTCAGGAGGACGTTACACAGGTTTGCCTTGTAAATTCTAGATCTCACTTTTTATCACTCATTGTTCGAATCGTTTTGTCTTTTTTCTTTTGTTTTTCTGAGAATGGAGCTGTCTTTTGTGTTTGTGTGCATATGGGTCTGCTTGCATGTGGCGTACTAAATTAATGAAAAAGTAGCAAAGGCCTGACCGAGCTAACGAACTCCAGCTGGGCTTTGTTGTGCTTATTAAGCAGATTGAGGAAAGTAAATTCTCTTGAGCTTAGCTCATACCTCAGACCAGACCTAAAGCAAAAGGTTTTTGGGGGGTTAGGGTTTTTTTTCTATTTTTTTTTCACTTTTTTGCCAAAATCAGCTCTATTAGCGTATTTCACCTTTTTAGAATCACGCCCGTATTTTATGCATGATCTGCCAGGTTATTTCAAAAGAAAACAAAGCCTCCTGTTATCTTTAAAAACAATCCAACAATTGGGATAACATTGAAATATATTGCCCTAAATTGTGGTGAATAGCTCTCCACCCTCTGAATAACTATACAATTGTATTTGGTATTCACTTTAGGTGGTTAGGTTACAAATGGACAAGTCAACACAATTGATCTACCTACCTTTGTCCTTCAATCTGCTCTCCCAATTGTTACGTTTTTTTATTTTTTTTTAATTTATCATTTATTTTTGGGGGACACCCACGGTTTATGGTAGCTGACGGGAAAAGAAATTTCATCTGTGCTGTATGTTGCACATTAAGCATATTTGACAATAAAGTTGACTTGACTTGACTTGAACAGTTGGACTACATATCGTATGGCATGTGGATTTATACAGGCTGGTTTTAGTGACACAACGCAGAAGCTTTTCACTCGCAAGTCGCAAAAGTCAGTTATGCATCGCCTAAGTTATAGACCAGAACAGATTTTCCCTCACAATGAACGGTTTTCACTTTACCTTTACTGCATGCTGTCTGTAAATCGAATACATGGGCACACATGCTAAGCCAGCCAAAACACTTTCAAGAAACTGACGGTTTGCAAATACTGTACAACCGCTGCGCACCTATTGAGGGCCTAGCGTCTACTCACCATTAAATGTCTCAATATGATACATTCAAGGTGCGCAGACAGTTAGATAAAAACAATTGTAGACAATGGAATAATGAATCCAGCCATAAGCAGTGATAATGTTATTAGATGTTATCAGTTTCATAATCCAAAACTACTGAATACTTTACTCAAAATAGCAAGAATAATTTGACAATCCATTTGTGGGCTAAAGAAGAATAATGCCTTCTGGTTTCGTTTGCTTGCAGATTCAGTGAATATATTGTGTGATTCTCTAATAGCTGTCAGCTTTTTGGGGCGCTGAAAATGAAGCTATTACTTGGTTTACACAGCTGAAACACAATAATAATAATAATAATAATAAGACATTTATTTCCGCCACTGATTGGGGGTAGCAACCGAGTCCTTTCGCAAAGCAGGAGTCTGCCTGGCATGCAGACAAACAGATGACAGGAACATGAAAAAAAAAATCCATTGAATGATAAAACTTTTTGAGTTGAGGTCTTGGTTAACAGACTTATTTGATCGTGCGCGGTCTTTTTTTAACCATCAAACTTGTGGAAGTCTGTTTCAATGAAAGTCATTCACTCAAACGTCATCGATGGTCGACTTTGACCCATCACATGATGGGTGATTGGATGATTGTCATAATTTCTGTCTTAGTTTGTCAATTTTATTAACGCACAGTTTTTCTTTCAGTTCCATGGTATAACCACCAACACGCAAGAATCAGATCAAATTGAGTAACTGGAACGTTGTTTCTTCATTAGCTTTAGTCTTATGTTTCTTCCAGCAAAATTCATACAGTACACCTCTTGTACGTCAATACAATACTATGTGTGATGCAGAATAACCTGGTGTTCTAGTCTCACTGCATTCATGCGTGTTGGTTTATCTTTGTCGATGACATATTTGCAGATGAAACATTTGCCCCAAAATAATCTGAGCATTTGATCAATAAACAAAGCCTAATCTGATATTACCACAAGAATTCCGATGTATGTCACAAGCCTTTTCTTTCGATTGTCTCATCAAAACACAATCATGTCAACCACCTGTATTGGATGCTTTTGGAATGTATCACATAAGGGTTTAGGCTTTCATAAAACAACTAAGATTAAAAAAATAAATTGTTGAGGCGGTATCGGTGGTATCGGATTTGTGGCCGTGTGGTTGTTGGTGCCTGTCATGGCGGCAACTCCCGAACCTGCTGGTGGACACCAGCAGTAAGGGATGCCGTCGAGCTGAAGGAGTCCTATAGGGCCTTTATGGCTCGTGTGATTCTTGAGGCAGCTGATGGACACAAGATGGCAAAGTGGAACGTAGCTTCAGTGGTCGCCAAGGCAAAAATGGAAAGAATGAGGCCATAGAAGCCAACTTTGAGTTGAGCTCCTCCTTCTCCATGTCAAGGGGAGCCAGATGAGGTGGCTCGGGCATCTGATTAGGATGCCTCCTTGACGCTTCCCTGGTGAGATGCTCAGGGCATTTCCCACCAGGATGAGGCCCCCGGGACGACCCAGGACATGCTGTCTCCGGCTGGCCTGGCAATATCTTTGGATCCCCCGAGACGAGCTGGGAGAAGTGGCTGGGGAGAGGGAGGTCTGAGCTTCCCTGCTAAAGCTGTTGCCCCCGTGGCTTGACCCCGGATAAGCAGTAGACTATGGATGGATGGATGGATGGGCTAAGATAAGTACGAGCATACCAAAAAAATACTGTGGAAGCGAATGGGAGGATTCCGACTTTGATCAGTGTTCTGTCTGTTTTCGTGATTTTTCATCCCGCTTATGTAGTGAACATGCGCCTTTAAAAAAGAGGCAGTTGCATGGCTGGAAATTGAAAGTGAACGGGGTTGTCACCTTTTTCATGTCTCTTTTAGCCACCACTCTGCAACATGAGAACAAATCCAGTTTTGTGGTGAGAGTGACTTCGAGTGCAATGGAAGAGTGGGGTGGGGGCGAGAGTGAGAAAAAGCAAGCAAGGACAGAGAGAGAGAGAGAGATTGAGAGAGAGAGAGAGAGAGAGAGAGAGAGAGAGAGAGAGAGAGAGAGAGAGAGAGAGAGAGAGAGAGAGAGAGAGAGAGAGAGAGAGAGAGAGAGAGAGAGAGAGAGAGAGAGAGAGAGAGAGAGAGAGAGAGAGAGAGAGAGAGAGAGAGAGGGGTGAGAGTGATCGAGATCTATTTTTAGCTTCAGTTGCCCCGAATAGAAGTCTGAAAGCACATCATATGTAATTTTGTTCTGTGGCACAGACAGGCACCAAAATGCATCAAGAAAAGACACGTTCCATAGAATTTATTAAATGTCATTGAGGTCGTCCATAGTGTGGTTGGTAATTACCAAGCAAAAGAAATATTCTGAATATTAATGACCATGTAATTATCTTGAGTCGATATACAACTGTGAGTCACGTGCATAGTTGAATGTCTTCGCTTTTATTTTGAGGCATAGCAAAGTTCCTTTGAATCATTTCTTGTATTCCTCTTCCTTCATGCCACATTCACAACCCACAGGATGAAAGACCGCTGTCATAATAATTACTCAATCTTATGATGATAGTGGATAGCCAATTTAAAATGGAACAATTGCGACATCTCTCTTCAGTATGATTGTTTCACTGGCAAATCACACAATTTTTTTTTCTTTTAATAAATACCGATAGATTATCTGTATAGTGGAAGTGAACCAGCACAGTCCCACCAGTGTGGTGAAATGTTGATTAGGAAACCATTGCACACTCATTTTGAAGATAGGAACGCCAGGAAAAAAAAAATCATACAAAATATTTTTTCAACAGCTGATGTTTAGCTTTTTTTATTACAGTCTACTGAATATATTTTTAGGCAAACAAAACAAAAGGTGCTGAAGGAGATTTTGAACAACAGCATGATTAACAGAAGACGATCTGAAAAGTGTCCAACTGTAACCCAAAATATTGGAGCTCCAGGTGATGTTCAAACCATTAGTGAAGAAGTTGGCCAGACGGTTTTCGGTTTTAAATGTTGGCACGGTTGCCACAACAGGGGAGCAATCTGACCATCTGCTGCGTAAGTTCTCGTCAAGTCAGTCCCTCAGTTGTACAGTGATTCTTGATTTGAAAGGCCCATCCTGCTCTTGAGAAGCGTGATTAGTTTTACAAAAAAATGTGCTTGTAGTGTCAATTGGTGGGAGTTGTGAATCATTTTCTGCGATGTTATCTTGTTTTCTGCAGCTTCGGACAACAGCCAGAGATTCCAGGAGACATGCTTTGCCTTTGCATTAACGCCACAGCAGGTCCAGCAGATCAGCAGTTCAATGTAAGATGAATGAAACACCATTTTGTCTGGCCAGACTAAATTATTTCTCAATTATTCATCAACATCTGTCGGGTGAAAACAATTTTTTTGTGCTTTAAGGGACATCTCGGGGACCAAATGTGATTTCTCAGTTCAAGTCCAATTGCGGTTTTGCCTGTCAGAGACAAGCTGTCCTCAGGAAGATCATTTTCCACCCAGTTTGTGTGTGAAAGTCAACGGCAAGCCATGTAACCTGCCGGTGAGAAACACTGACATACACATGCAGTACCCAAGTACCCAAATCCTGTGTTTTTCTTTGTATTTTAAAGCAGTACTTGTAATCTCACCATTTTTTTTGCCATCCTATCTCACAGGGTTATCTTCCTCCAACCAAAAACGGTGTCGAGCCAAAGCGGCCCAGCCGACCCATCAATATTACCTCGTTGGTCAGATTGTCCACGACAGTCCCGAATACCATTGTGGTGTCCTGGACTGCTGAGATTGGGAGGGTGAGAGGAAAAGGGCCGGATTTACTAAGATCCCAAAGAGTGGGCATGAAAATGCATGCTGCCTCGAACAGACTTGTTTGCGCTGTTGGGGGCCAAGATTGCGATCTTTTCAAAAGAGGGGTGGAGACTGAAATGTTGAAAAAGAGGGGTTTGAGCTTTAGTTAACTCTTGGGGGAGAGCAGCAACTGCATAAAAGTCGTCTTTTGTTTGTTTCACCTTGTCCCAGGTGTCACTCCCGCCTTACGGTTCCCCCCTTCCATTTAAAAAAAAAAAAGTTTCAATTGGTTAAATAACATTTAATAACACTTCATTACGAATAAGGTGCTTTTCTGTGGTAAGGTAAGAGGTCAGAGCAAGGCTTTGAGGCTGTGCCCACGATGATTGTGCAAAAAAAGATTGACACCTTGTAAGGTAGTGTACTCTCTCTGTCTCTGTTTTTTTTTTGTTGTTTTTTTTTAATCAGGAGAGTTGTTTTTTTTTTTAACTCAAATTAGAGGCACAATATGGCTGATTTTCGCAGATCATACAGTGTTTACTATAGTCATCTGTTGAGTCTTGACGACTGTTTTAACAAAATGAAAAATGTGCTGTTGTGGTTTTATTGCAAAATCCCACTTTAAGTCAACTCTGTGTGTTTTTTTTTGGTTTGTAGTATTTAAGTGACCCGAAGACGTGTGTAATTTTGATCGAGGTTTAAAAAAGCAATTTTAGGGAAATCATTAATTGCAGCGGTCCACATAAAATGATATAGTGAGTCAGATCCGATCCCTGGGCCTGGAGTTTCACACCTGTTGCCCTACATCAATCAGAAGCTCCAAAAAGAGCAATCCCGAAGAGACGATTTTGCACGTTCATTTTTGTTGATGGATTTTCAAATGTTAACGCGAGCAGAAAAGAGCTTTCCTCCCCATCGTCTCTCAGTTTGCCTTCGCCTGCCCGCCATGGCTCCACACAGAGGTGCCGTTTGCAGCTGCCTTTCAGATGTGCTCTTTCAAGATGCAAAATCAACCATTGGAATTCCTCTTCCGTTTGATCAATGTGCTAAATTCATGTCGTTGCATGTACTGGTACTGCTCAGAATGGCCCAAATTACCAGTGCAGCAATTTAGCACGTTAGGTAGATGCGATCTCGGGTGCTCCGTGGGTGCTTCTACATAGGTTGGCGCGCACAATCAAGTTTGTGCCCGTTTTTGCACACGCAAACCTAAATTAGGCCCAAACTCAGGGCCTGCCTTTATACACAAGGGTCGGAGTTGGTTATAATTCCCCAGAAATACAATAGATGGCAGTATCATGCCTCTCATAAGGCTCAAAAGTGTCTTTGACGAGCAGGCGTTTGTGTGATACGCCTTTATATCTCCAGTTTTTGGTCCATTGAAGAGAAAAACTGAACATAATTCTATGTTTTTTCACCTCCACAGAATTACTCTATGGCAGTATACTTAGTGAAGCAGCAGTCATCCACGGTGCTTTTACAGAGGCTACGGGCTAAAGGCATAAGGAATCCAGACCACTCCAGAGCACTCAGTAAGAACCTTCTGAACCTCTTTGTTGAGGAATGCACAGGTCCATTTATGGTGTAACAATTTGGAGATAGAAAGTTTGAACTTTGAGTTTACACATTAACAACAATTTAAAAAAACTAAAATCTCCTTGAGGCTCACAGCTTTGTTCATAAATAGCTACTGTGGAACATGGAGGCGGTTCCGTTTAGTGGATGCTTATCTCCAGCCAACACAAAGTGTCTTGAATCAATGTAATTGGCATTCTGCAGAGAAGTATGCTGCCCAGAGTGAGGAAGCTTGATTTCTATGAGGTCACGGGTCCCCCAAAAGGCTAAAGACACCAAACAGACGGCTAAAAATACCCAAGAATGGGTAAGAACGAAACATCGAGCTATTCTAAATCCTGTTTAATATTTGCGAAAGCATCTGAACCTGATACAGCTGGAGCGGTTTGCTCATGGGCAGTCCAAAATACCTGTGGACAGGTGCACAAGTCTCATCGAGGTTGTTGTGACCCCCTCAGAGGGTTGTGGAAAAAATATTATTTAATGCATTCCATCCTTCTCGTCCAGGCCAGCTTCTTTAGTTTGTTTTTCAAAGTAATATTGGTGGCCCACAAAGAAAAAGAAACATTTATTTTTACAGTACTTGTTTCTGAGTCAGTTTCAACTAATTTCCACATTTCTCGTGGGGTCTTCTTTCTATGACGGGATATGTATTTGTATTTATTTTGGCAACGTGGCAGGGAAGATAAGAAGAGGGTACGATAAGAGGACTGCCGTCTGCCAAATGCATGAAAGAAGAAAGCCTTTCCTATATTGATGCATTGAATTGACTTTGCCATTTTGCCATTGTTTGTTTTAAATCATTTTTCCCATTTGCCTCCAGTCAAAGAGAAGCTAACAGCAGACCCAGACAGTGAAATCGCCACAACTAGCCTTCGTGTGTCTTTGCTCTGCCCGGTAAGCAAGTTTCTTTCATTGAAAGGCAGTTAACAGTATTAAGATGCATTATACCAAAACCAAAGTGCCGTATGCGTTCATTGCATGACCTTCCATTGTTTTTCTACATTTCGCCCCCTAGTGTGCACCTATTCCGCCTGCTTGATGTGATTTTTTTGACATTTATGGCACCCATACATACACTGTACGGTACCTTATGCCCCTGCTGTGCGAGTGACATCTTTATTGCCTGAAGACATATTCATGCACCCCTTGCAGCTCGGAAAGATGCGGCTGATGATTCCATGCCGGGCGCTGACATGCTCCCACCTGCAGTGCTTTGACGCCACACTGTATATTCAAATGAACGAGAAGAAGCCCACCTGGGTTTGTCCTGTTTGTGACAAGAAGGCGCCTTATGAACTCCTCATCATTGACGGGTAAATGACCCCACATGGCTCTTCTCACCCGGTTAGAGGAGCAATGCAAAGTGTATTTAAACGGGATGATCTATTTCATTTGTATATGTGTTAGCAGATAAGAGTCTTTATGTCAAGCACGTTTTATTAATTTTTTAAAAATTGACTGTATTATATCTCAGCAGAGGTTGTCCGACGTGTCTTGTTTGTTTGTTAGATGGCTCATAAATATCAAAGCCTGTGCAGTGCTCTGGTCTTCTTTTTCATGCAAAGTGAACACTTGCACCGACTTGTGGCTGTCTTGTCCATCTGAAACAGCATCGTCGTAATTTAAATCACGAACCAATCAGGGTGTGATTACCTTGAGTCCAAATGCATTGGTCTCCGTTTTAATCCAGCCGTGTTCTACAGTTTAGCTGTAATGTTCAAAATTTGGCGCGCAGTGGCACCGCTTCACTCTGACTACAGGATCTACTATTCTTCTATTGCCTGATGTGGTTCTCACTGTTAAATCACTCAGGCTTTTTGTGGAGATCCTGAACAGCTGTACGGATTGTGATGAGATCCAATTCAAGGAAGATGGAAACTGGGCCCCTATGAGGACAAAAAAGGAGCTACAGGAAGTCTCCTGTGCTGCTTTAAATAGCAGCCTGAATGGTAAGAAATGTACGGTGGCGGTGGGGAGTAAGCAGCCAGTAAGACGAGCCTGTAATAAAGTAATCAATTACAGGAAGTGACAGGAAGAACATAATAGTCACTCTTTATGTCACTGTCATTGTCAGGAAGTATCCAGCTAACCAAGGATGCACATATGATAGCATATTGAATGTTTGCTTTTAGTGGACCATCACGTATTTGCAGCACAGCATTCACAAATACACAAATTCCCTGGGTTTTTTTTGGTCAGGGGTCGGGGGGTCCCTCTCCTCTGGTATTCACAGGCAATTGGGATTCTCTGTAATGTGGTGGGGAAAGGTCTGAATTATTATGTTTTTCTTTTGATGACAAAATACGGTCTACTGTGTCATTTGTTGTATTGGAGCGTGTAACAATAACTGAGATAATCAGTTACTGTCAGCCATCAACGTGCCACAACTTCAAACGAGTTATTTGCTCAACCAGACTTGTGTGTTGGCGGACGTTCTGCCTACAAGCACGTCCACTAGCTCCGCTCCCGCGCCCCGCCATGCTCACCTAATCACAATTCCAAAAGCAGAATTGTTATTAAGTGGGAGCGGGGAGATAAGATGGCAGCTGCTTTGGCTCACGATAGTTTCATCAAACTATGACTTAATAGAGCGTCAAACGCAATGAACTCAATGTTACAGCAGCTGACTGTACATCGTCGAGCCTATCTACCGACGCCAGCTTGTAAAGGTACAGAAATGTTTGTACGCATTTGAAATAACTGTGAAGTGTTATTGCACCTTCGTTTGTGGCGTATTGTTGGTTTAAACTGTTAATATTGACATTGATATTCACTTTTAGGGGCGTCTGTCATTTGTGTAAATTCGTTATTCAGGGCCAGGTTTGGCCCCTACAGGACGGAGTATCCAGTTGTGCCTTTGTATTTGTGTGTCGTAGTTTTACAAGTGATCAAACAAAGACAAGCCACAACACAACTGTCACTTTGGCCGATTGCTATCGACTATTTTTAGAATTGATTAGTTGGTTCCATCAAATAATCTGATCAAGACCTTATTTTGCATGTTTGGTAAGTGTTGAATGCTTCAAAAAAAAACAAACAAGAGCTAAGCAAGCAATAATCACAAGAGAGGCCCGACTTTTTGAAACGGTGAGCTACTTCTTCAGTACTGATTAATGCCAAGGGCTATGCTTCTGGGCTTCGGGTTTGACTACTGGTAAATGTCATTTCCAGGTTTTTACTACTATTACCTGAAAAAAAGATTTTTGTACGATTAAAGTAAAACCCCCCCCCCCCCCCCCACACACACACACCCATAAACTGTTTATGACTCAGTTACTGGTCCGTAACTTGTCAGAAATTGGGAAAAAATGTTCCTGGATGTTCTCCAAAGTAAAAGGAGATATTTACAAATGTCTTTATTTGGATGAAGCGCAAAAGATAATCGGTCTGCTATCGTGAAGAACTGCATAAATCTGAGAATGCTAACTTTTGAGGGGCTGATGCGAGAGGATTTGGACAATTTTAAAGATAAACAAATGAGTAGTAAACAAGTCAGTGATGATGAAACTAGTTGTTGATTAATTTCATGATTGATTAACTGTCGATAAATCGAATAATTGTGACACCTCTACTCTCTCCAGGTCTTTGTGCGACGACTGCGGGCTCAGATCATCAGAGCCCCTTGTCAGCCAACCACAATAACAGCGGCAACAGCAAGAAAATGGCAGTGATCGACTTGACATTAGACAGCTCCTCAGAGGATGAAGAGCAGGACACTCCGCCGCTGCTGCCGCCGCCGCCTCTGCCTCCGTTGCCTCCTCCCGCCAAACGATCCTGTCCCTCCATGTCCCCGACGTCGCCGCCTGTCCTCAACAAAGGGTCAGTCAGACGCGGAGCAGCGGTTGAGATTTTATCTGCACTCATAGCTCAGAAAGCATCCAATGTGGAATAGGCTCAGATGGGAAGTGAAGCATGTCGATAGTCGATGATTCATGAGGTGTTCACTTGAATGCATGAATAGGTTTTTACCATTTTGCTTGAACAGCCACGTAAAAGGTTGAGTGTGTAACATTTGTACTTCAAATCCCTTGTGACAGGTAGAATGCTTACTAGAGACTTTTCCTGAAGAAATAGACTTGGAAAAACTGTCATTTAGTAGTTTGTTGTTTTCTGTACTGCGCAGTCAGGATGAAATTTGGATGAAACTAACTTGCTTTGGTAGTAGGAATGAGATTTTTTGGGTTTTTTTTCATTTTTTTCGCATCATCTGGATCCTCACAAAAATGCAATCGAAATATTCGTAGCCATCACAAAAGTAGATAAAAGTACACTATAGAACGGCATCAAAGCGAATCTATAATGGTATCACGTCCCAAAATGGGTTCATCTCCATGAGAGTATGCCATTTTTCATCGGTTGGTGTTTTTGGCTGGTGAAAGTACAAGAACACTTTGACTTCACTGACAATGACAAACATCAAGTATGTGTGACTACATACTTGTCCCCACATCTGCCTCCAGGGTGTTGAACCTGCACCACCAGGCCTCCCCGGTGAGTCGCACTCCCAGCATGCCAGCTGTGGACAGTAGCTACATGCCTCCCGTCCCGCCACTGATCCAGGACTATAGACCCTACTACCACACCACCAACGACCTTCCAGGTAATGACAAAAAGAGCAAGTTCGGTTCAAAGTGTTGAATGCAGCGGTAAAAAAAAAAAAGATTTTCTCACGACCAGTCGCCTGCATTCCCAATGTTTGTGCAAACTGGGCTCCATGTATCACGGTTTTGAACATCTTTTTCAAATTTGGAACTCACACATAACGAAGAAACAAATCACTGTTTGTGCTGACTGCTTTTGTACCGCGAGATGACCAACACGGCACACCAAACACAAACGTGTAAGAGGCAGCATGCCGCGGGGCCTTTGGACTGCCGGAAAGAAGAAGAAAGATTCGAAACAATCGAAGAAAGTATGTTAACTGATAGCTTGTCTGCTCACTAGATGACAGTGGCAAACCCCTTTCTGTAATGCTGACAATCCCAACTGGCCCTCCCCCCCCGTCCCCCCCCCCCCCCAAAAAAAAAAAAAAAAAAAAAAAAAAAGATTTTCTCACGATCAGTCGCCTGCATTCCCAATGTTTGTGCAAACCGGGTTGCATGTATCACGGTTTTGAACATCTTTTTCAAATTGGGAACTCACACATAACGAAGAAACGAATCACTGTTTGTGCTGACTGCTTTTGTACCGCGAGATGACCAACACAGCACACCAAACACAAACGTGTGAGAGGCAGCATGCCCTGTGGCATTTGGACTGCCGGAAAGAAGAAGAAAGATTCAAAACAATCGAAGAAAGTATGTTAACTGATAGCTTGTCTGCTCACTAGATGACAGTGGCAAACCCCTTTCTGTAATGCTGACAATTTATAGAAAACACTCAACGCAACCAATTTCTCACTGGAGTGGACTGAGCCACGGGTCTCAGCCAAACTGCTCTAACATATTCACAAATGTCGCCCCTGACCATTTTATGATGGGGAAAAAAAACCCCACTCTTAACCCACCTCAGATCACAGGATAATCAATCAGGGACATCAATATTTGATCGGTGCCTTACCAAGCTCTCTCCTACTCATTTGACAGATTTGAACTTCTTCTCTTTCCTGCAAGGTGACAATCATCAGGTATGTGTCACAGTAAATCACACTGACAGCGGTTTTGGAGGTTTTGTTTATGAATCAGGTTGTGAAACCCCACCCAATGTTCTAATTTGAAGACTCACTCCTTCGATTTACTCCTTAGCCGGCCACACACTGATCACTGGAGCTCAACAAACTATTTACAGTCTGCGACTGACCCTCGCACAGTATTATTGTGACAATACGATTCGCACCGCGACAAAAAAATGCACCCCCTGAGGTTCAGAAACCAGCGTTTTGACGCGCCACCTAGGGAACTCTTTTACTTGTACACTCCGTCTCCATCTGGAGCTGTTTAATCCGTTTAGGATGCACGATATTATCTTATTTCGAGAGTTGTACTGAGTCGACTAGTTGCTTATTTGAACAAAGTTAAGCCACATGCTTACACGCACCTGCATGAACATCTTTTTCGTTGTTTTAGCTGGGTCTTCTTCGAGTCCGGTGTCGGCCAAGATCAAAACATGCTTTTGTTCTCAAAATCTCCTTACAGCTTTTTGGAATGAATGGTGGCACAAATTTAACGCCACACTAGAGTCTCTGCCTACAACAAACACGGTGCTGGGGTCAGGGTTTGCTTCCTGAGGTTGTTGTTTTTTTGTTTGTTTTTTTTAAATCAAACCATTTATTGAATACATTTTGTGTCGGGATTGATCATGTCGCGATCGGCAATAATTATCAGCCAGCCTCAACAACGTGTAATTCTTTTTGTTTGATGTTTATTTTGACATTAAACTTCGACTGGGAGTGGCATTAAAGAGGTTGAAGCCACCGTACAGCGTTGGTTACTCAAGTGGGAGCTAACGTCAAGGCAAAAAAACCAAAAGAAAAACACGCTTTCATGAACAATTCACATTTCTTGAGATGCAAAACTTTGGGCTTTCATTAGCTGTAAATTATAATCATCAACATGATCGAATTTAAAAAATACATGACAAAAACGTAGCACTGTGTGTAATCAGTTCAGTGGTTCTTAACCTGGGTTCGATCGGACCCCAGGGTTTCGGTGAGTCGGGTCTCAGGGGTTCGACGGAGCCTCTGACATGGAGGGTAAGACACACGCGACTCAACATGTTAATCAGTTATGACACGCCCGCTTGGCCATCACTGGCTGCACATGATCACATGACATTGCTTGTCCAATCAGTGCTGCGGGAAATTTAGTTCGCTTAGTAGTCAACGTGTGACTGTCCTGATAGTACGTCATACAATTAACCAAAAAAAAAAAAAAAAAGTATCCTTATCTCTTGAAATTTTATTGACTTTTTTCTGTTTTTATTAAATGCGTTTTTTTTAATACCTTGAATTTATAATTCTGATTCCGAGTCTGTTATCTTGAATTTATATAAAAAAAAAAAAATAATTGTTTTTCACTCATGAAGGGTTCGGTGAATGTGCATATTAACTGGTTGGGTTCGGTACCCCGAAAAAGGTTAAGAACCACTGAATCAGTCTGTAAATTGTATGTTTCTCTTTTTTTAATTGAAAACCTGCAATCACTGAAGTTGTCCAGATGCACCATTAGCAAAAGGATTTATTGTTGACTGTGTGGTGGTAAATGTGCAAACTGACGGAGTATCACATCTCTGTCAGCATTACAACATGGTGATGGCGGCGGCCGCCGCCGCCTCTGCCTCGGAGGACCACGAGCTTCTGCTCAACCGCTTCCTCCCCTACAGCTCCTCCGGCTCCTCGGCATCTTTATTGACGCCGCCGACCAACGGGGCCGGCGGCTCCGGCAGCAGCAGTAGCAGCAGCAGCTTGGTGTCGTCCGGCAGCCTCCGGGACGCTCACTCCTTGTCCTCACACTCTCATGGTGGGGTGCTGGCCGGCCGGGGGGCCGCAGAAGCCGCGGTGGCAGCTATTTACGGGGGAATTCCTGACGTTATATCATTGGACTGACTCACAAAGAGCCAGGCCAGATCCGACGATGAACTGAAATGCAGGGTAGAGAAGTGACTCACAAACTTGACAAGAATCTATCGACTTCATCGGTGGAGTCGGAGTGTAAGAGGAGCATCAGAAGGACTGGACGACAACGTTGGCTCAACCAGTCGTGAAGGTCAGCTGATCACATGGACTTTATCAGCGTCTCGCATTATGGTTTTAATGCTCCCAACCTGGCACAAAGAGCAAAAAACACAAAGGAGGACTTTTTTTTTTAAATATGACCACAAGTAGGGGCACCTTGTACAGAGAACAAAATCTATTTTCTTCTTTTACTTTTGTATGGTCAATGGGGACACGTCCAAGCTAATGAGCTGCTTCAACTGCTGTTTTTGACCACGTTATAGTTTGTAGTCCATACATCATGTGTGGTGGCCCCTGCCTTGTGTATCCTGGTCCTCACTGCATCTATCCCCCTTAAATCTCCTCCAGTCAGTTCTCCCTGAAGCTTATAAATACTGCTTTTTACGCAATATGCATTCCTTTACATGTTCAGGTCACCCTGTTTGTGTGATAGGGAGTGTGCAGGCGGAGCGGCTTTATGTGGATTATCATTTTCACTCCCGGTGAAGACTTCATCACAACAGCATTTAGACTGTTTTTAAAGTTAGACACTATTTATATATGTAAATCTTGAGATGGAAGGAATCTTTTTTTTTTTTTGCTTATGCCAAAAATAACAAGGGACCTGGACGATGATCAGAGTGCAGTTCGAGCACTTAAAAGGTGAGTCGTCTTGTGTCCTTCTTTGGACACTTAAAGCACGTTCTTTGAGACTTTCTTGCCCGGCCATCCAGACAAAAAAAGAACAATGCAGTCAAACCGCAGCCTGTCTTGAGCAGTTGTTCCACATCGGACTTGAGTTTCAGCTGCTGCCGGTTTGCTCGAATATGTCACTGCATGTTAGGGATGAAGGTGTCTCCTGATTCAGAAAAACAATGTCTTAATATGTCTCCTGGTTTTGAAAGCAAGTGTCTCTCAATTGAAGCATTTTGGAGGAGTTGGACAAAAAAAAAAAAAAAAAACATAGTTGGAAGTTTAGCTTAACTTTAGGAATGCAGTGGACCCTTGGAGCTTGAAAGCTGTTCAGTTAGGGATGGGCATTGGACTTTGAGGAAAATGACCATGCTCCATTAAATATTGCTGTATCAATTCTATTTGACCTTCAATACTTTCTGCAACTATTTTAAATAGGGATGGGCGAGTACCAATACCAGGCGTTGATATTGGGCTGATATTGGGTTATTGTGAAAGATGTCGATACATCCACTGATACTTAAGGCAAAAAAAATAATAAATAATGGACATGGAATAAGTCATTGGTGCTACACATCGGTGAATCATCGTGTGTCAGAAAGAAAATTCTATGTTCACAATTATCTGTCATTGTTTCAATTAAATATAGTATGTATCATAAGTACAAGTGGTTTCGGCACTTGGTAAAGGGTGAGTCCTCAAGAGTGATTACGCGTACTGGTTTCGGTCTAAAAAAAAATTGACATTGAACGTGCGAGCACCGGTTGTTAGAGGCCCTGCAGAGGCTGCAAAATCAGGTGACACTTTCTGAGCAATTTCCTCATTGAGGCTGATGACAGCCAGACCACTTCAACGCTCCTGGCAAATTGATGAGCGCAGGAATGTTTTAATGAGCTTCAGTTTTTTAGAAGCTTTGCTCAGCTGAGGAAACTGTGACAGGGATAGTCAGTGCAATCCTAAGAGCAATCCACAGATGAAGATATACCTCTTGAAGCTGATTTTCATCAAGAAATCGCCGTCGTTCCAAGGCAGATAAGCTGTTGGTGGTGGTAGCTGAGGAAGGTTGATGATTTCCTGCATCCTCTCAGCTCCATTATTATCAGATGTTCTCTTATCATTAAGCGTCTTGTGTACTTCACGGCAGTGTTTTTTGAAGTCGACCTTGGACATTCTGTTCAGCACTCCATAGCTTTCTTTGACTTGATTCATGGCCTCAAACTTCTCCTGCAGTGAAAGTAAAGCAGAGTCCACAACACAGTTCAAATATGTGACCTCAAACTTTTGAAGGTGGTCATCAAAGGGCTCATCAACAGATTCGTATGCAAACTGCCTTTTTGAACTCCTGCGTCTTTTCTCCTTAAGCTCTGGTTCTATATTCAGGGCGTCACAGAGTTCCTTCGCGATTGACACAGCCTCGTCAAAACCAGATTGTCTGTCTTTGCGGAGGTTGATTTTGGTACTGTCAATAATAAGCCTGACAGCAATATCAAGTTGCATGGAACTGGAGTGAAGTAGCTGATTCACCTGGCTTGCAAATCAAAATCGGATTGAGGCTACTTCCTCAGCAAGAGCTTGAGCCTCCACTTTTGCCACTGGATCACTGACAGCTTCCCTGGCCTCCAGGAGGGCATCTCTCACTTCTTTTGCTTGATTCCTTGAAGCTGTTACACTTTGGAACCTTCTCTCCCATCTAACATCCCTCCCAGGATTTCAGTGTCAGTTTGACATGTTTTGTCAAAATGGCGCATCGCTGGGTTGCACCTGAGAAGAAATTAAATAGCTTCTTCAAATACCCAAAGTAGCCAGTGGCATCCTGAGAGGCAGTATCAGCTATGACAAGATTCATCGTGTCTGCTTCACAAGGTACAAATGAAGCTCTTGGATTTGCCTGTCACAGTCTTGCCTGAACACCTTGCCTCTGTCCCTTGATGTTGGCCCCATTATCATAGGCGTGTCCTCAACATCTGTCAAATGGATATGCCAAGCTCCTTCAACTTGTCCAGGACAACATTGGACAGGTTAAGGCCAGTAATTTCTTCCACATCAGTATATCCTAGAACGTATTCTTTAACGTCTGGTTGTAGCTGGAAACAGACAATGCGCACTACGACTGTGTTACAATGGTGCGTAATGTTTCTGAACAGATTATCTGAATTAGTTTGTTTGGTGTGTTGGTGGTGGACTTTCATTTTTTATTTTGGCCAAGTGCTTCTCCATAGCGGGGGTCGTATGTTGCCATAAATTGTACCTCCCTCAAGAAGTTCCCATTGTCTGGCTCTTACAAACGGTCAGAAGAGCTCCTAAAAGACAAATTCATTGAAGCCCGTGAGAAAGTGATTGGGAGCAAGCGTTTGAGATGTCTTGCCACCTTTTCCTTTCCGCCTCCAATAATGCTAACTCCTGTAGATCTATTGCCTTGCCGTTTTTTAAGACGTGTGTCACGTTCTCTCCATTTCAGCAGGCTCTGTGTATGGTCTTGGCTACACTCATGAGCCCTCAAAATTGCTGCTGATGTCAGACCAAGCACTGTTGCCTTCTGCAGTCAGCTCTGTATCCTTTCTGCAAAAAAAGCTTAGATGCAACACAGCATTGTTCTGTGGAGGGTACACTACACACAACTTCTGTTCACCTTCCTTTTCTCCCATTTGAAAGAATTTTGAACTGGAGTCTGGTCTGAAATGCTCTTCCATCGGGCCCCTTTGGAAAATCCAAATCGGGGCTGAATTTGATAGAACTCCTGCGCACGATTTCCACACGCTCTGCATTTAAAATGTGTGCTGGCCATAGAGCCGGATCAGTTGGAGGGGGCACGCATGTCTCCAAACTGTCACATGATGAGGCCTCTCAGTGACAGGACTCACTTTGCCCTCAGAAGTGGTGGTTTGCATGATGCGCTGAACTGGTAGATGGTCGTTGGTCAGGGCTGGGTGCTGCTGCAAAGTCTCAAAACCTGCTTCTGGATGACTCATCTTAACTACTTGTGGTGGATGGTTGATCATCTGAAACTTTCACTTGGCCTTGAGTTCCTCCTCGAACATATTGAGGGATCGATCCTCTATTCAGAAATACAAGACAAAATATTCAGGGATTCTACAGTGAAATATAATTTTGAACCATGGCACAAACATTTTTAAACTTAATTATGGTATTATGTCGGCCTATTTTTAAAACACAGGTACCTGAAAATTTTAATATTCTACCTCTTTTCAGATAATTACATTACTGAAGTGCATGTGAACTCGTCAAATTACGTTATTGCCATTACCCGATTATTCCCAGTTATTGGATTATTGTGCAAATGTAAACATACAGTAGCTGTTACAAAATAAACTTATTTAAAACATTGTCTTCCCTGTAAGTGACACGCGAGCATCATGCCTCAGGGTTTTTTCTTTTCCGCCCCGACTCTTGAAGCCTTTTCGATGACATGTCCAGATATCCAAGAATATACTTCTGCCAAACTTGCCATTGAAGCATAATGGAGCAAAGTACTAGGGAAGGTAGACCGACGAGAGGGCCGCACAGGAGAGTCTTGTTATTTTTGTATTACATACTGCATATTTATTAACATGCTTTACATATTTTAAATATATACAGTTATTATTAGAAGTACTTTTTTTTTTTTTTTTAATGCCCTACGTGCAGTGCGTGATAAGCATATGCGGAGCGCCGATTCTTCTGTGAACCGGTTGCCAGCCGATCAAACGGCACACAGTGACGAAGAACCATTCGCGCTCAAAATCACACCGAGGGACGCTTTAGAGTGTTCCGTTAACCTGCCATGTGTGTATATATAAATAATATCACAAGGCCGCCAGTTGCCCATCCCTGTGTTTGGCTTTTTGTCTTCATGACACAAACTCGTCATAACTGAATCAACGGGTTCTCAGCCATCTGCAGCCAAGTATAACACTGCATTTCGTCTCCTTTTTTCCCAAAACGTAGTTCATCAGCAATTAATCCCGCTCAATTATCAATTTCGTCAACCATCAGTAAATCCACTCATTTGTTTTAATGCCCATCCCTAAATTAAAACTTGAAATTTGTGACTTCCATCCATCCATTTTCAATACGGCTTATCAGCATTAGGAGCCCAGGTGAGCCGGAGCCCCTCCTGGCTGTCTTTGGACGAGAGGCGGCCTACACCGAGCACTGGTTGCAAACCATTTGCTGAAATATGAGACTTAAAGACCATATTTTCAGGATGTTTTTAGGTTGAAGGTGTTCAGAGGGTCCACTGCACAGAGAGAACTGGGAAACCTGCAAGCTAGTCAATGTGTTAGGTTGGTGAGCCGAGCACTTGAAATATCAGTTTTCCTCCTGAATGTACTGCAGAGCATTACATGACGTTACATTTCTGGGTGTTGGACACATTGCAGTCCTTTGCTCACATTCGCCTTTGCCGCAGTCAAGCTCACCCCTTCCTTTCACCCGCATGTCTTGTAACTTCTATCTTGGACTCCCAGACATCTGCGTTCCAAGCGTCTTTCTCTCTCCAATCACTACTGACAACAAAGGCCATCTTTTGGCGCGCGCGGTCCTGTGGACAGGTGACCCATTTTTATTTCACTCTCTGTCGGGAAGTCCGAATGATTTCAGCCAATTAGTCAGCATTTTTTTCTACTGATGTCAGTGGTGTCCAAACTATGGGCCGGGGGCCATTTGCAGCCCGCCATCCATTTTTTTCGCGGCGCGTGGCATGCACTAGAATGAACTTCTGACATGGAACTTGTCTTCATAGCACTGTGGAGAATAAAGATACGCTGAGTAAAGATTGTTTGTTTTGTTTCTGAATGTGGAGATTTCAGAAACAAAACAAACAATCTTTATTCCACTGCTGCTCGGTGGAGGGGTGGATGGATATATTCAAGAGGGCTTAGAGGGCCACAGGCCACGCCAAAAACAAAAACTAAACATCCTCAGCTATTTGCCTGACCACCTTTAGCAGAAAGCCTTCATGTAGCACTCTTTAAAAATAATTATATAAAGAATGTTTTTTAGATTACCGGTAATTGATTTTGTTGAACTGTGTTTATTAAGTTAAAGTCCAAAAATTTGAAAGTGGCTCTTGCATCTATTTCGGTGGAAAATGTTTGGACACCCCTGACTTATATAAATGTACCAAACGAGGATGACCTCGAACGATGTTTCCCAGTTCTGCTTGCTTCAAGTTCATAGAAGAGCTTTTGCAACAAAGGATTCAATTTACCTTATCCCCATTGAACGGGACTTCCCAGGAAGTGCAGAGTACGTGGCGTCCCAAAAGTCACGAACTGACGCCCCATTAGATTTGAAGTGGGTCACAGGAACAACTGGGTCATATTTTTTTTATTTTTTTTTTTTAAACGAATGAACAACAATGACAGACTCCCTTTTCTGTTGGTGAAAGTTGGGTTGCGAGAGACTATGTAAAAAACATTCATCAAATTGATTTCCTCTTCTAACAAGAAGCAGCCCAGTCGATCACACATACTCCTCATTTTTTGAAGTAAGATCTTGTGTCTCTCCTGTGTTATGCAGTATTTTATTTATTTGCTCTGATTTCTGTTTTTATTATTTACCAAGTGATTTCTGTGGGAGAATGTGTATGAATCACCGTCATTCCGGATCGGTTTTGTTTCATTTTGTATTTGACTTGCTTTGACAAAAGTGTTCTCTCTAACAAGCGACAAAGGTACAATTAAGTTATGAACAAAACGTCCGTTCCTATTCTTGAGAGCTTTAATGCAGTAAGAATGCAAGCCCGCTCGTGCAAAAGTCATCAAGACTTAATGGATGTAGCATGCCTTCCCGTCCTTAAGTCATTATCAGTTAACGTTATGGATCAAATCACAATTACGTCATGTGCAAAAAGAACATTGACTGGCAAGTCGTTGTACCGTTCAATAATGATTTGACCTTCGCCAAACTTTTGAGCGTGAATGTAATAAAACGTTGAACCGTTTTGTAAGACGCTCCTAAATACTATAATGAATTATGAAAGTATTGGAACGTGTATCTGGGCTGTGTATCAGATGCCAATATGTGGTTGTCTCGGCTGCCGCACCCCCCGTGTTGCGGGCTGTGTTGATTGTGTTTCTGCTCAAGTGCGCTGCATTCGATGGATGGATGGACAAGAAGTCATTTTCAAATGCTCCGGTTTGCCTACAGGGGGGAGGCGCCCTTGTGGTTCACTGTTACAGATCTGAAACTACTGTATTTCTCTCTCCTTCCCTATGACTGACTTGTGTGAGAGGACAGCAGACAGCATGCAGGGATGGAGAGGCACATGCCAGCATGTCTGTACATGCGCACGCTGCGGTTTGTCTGTCATCTTCCTGTATGAGGTCAGTGTGAGCGTGCAGAGCCCAGCCAGTTCTCAAGCCGATGGATGAAACGAGGCCACTCCTCAAAAAACGATCGCGGTGTGTCCCGGTGATCAAAAGGGAAAATTCAACAGTGTGTATATATTCTGCCTGTATGGGAATCGTGACTCTCCCGACCCAAACGTGTTTGATGTCCGTTTGTATGCTTTTTGTGTCCATTCAGAGCTGCGCGAAGAAAGTAATTTATATATATTTTTCAAGAGAATGGACACCGTAGCTCACTATCGAAGACAGGACCGTGGCCAATAAATGGTGTCGTCCAGCTGTAATCGTCAACACCCGCACTCACTGCCTTAAAACATGCACAGGTTTGGCTTCATGGCTCCAACTCCAAAACCACACGAGGCTTTTAAAGAGGACTGTGTAAACTACAGCAAACCCTTGTCAGTTTGTACAAATGTACCAAGTGGAAGAAAATATTTATTACATGCATTGAAATAAATTGTTTACTTCTTGAATGTTAACTGTTTATGTAGAAAAGTTTAGATGTATTAAAAGTGCAAAAAAAAAAAAATGCATTTGTGTTTCCTCCTGACACTCCCCCAACCCCTTTTTCAGTTGCCATTCCATTTTCACGGCTCAGATGAATTTGGCCCTGACATAAATACAACCACGATTTCGATATATAAAAACTTGGATCTAAATGGCGCTTCCATGCTTGCCGCATGACGTTTCACGCTTTGGATCATCAAAGCTATTCTTTACCTTTCCCATACATTTTTGTTTCCATAATTCTGATTCAAGTTGGTTTAGGCAAAGTCCAAACGGACTTTTCGAATGTTACCAACGCAGTCATGACTGTTAACACATCCGCCTTACAGTTTTGCGTTCAAAACTCAGCTCTGGCCTTTTATGTAGTCATCAAGTACAGTCGTACAACTGAAAAAAAGTTGCACTTTAACCCACAATAATCCTACATACAGTCGTCCGTTCTCCCCCGAAATGGTCATGTCTGTGGTACTTGGCTTCTATTTTGCAATTTGGATGTGGCAAAGAATCTGATTATGTTCTTCCAATAATGTTCTCGCCAAACAAAGGACAATGACTTTTCGTTTCCACTTCATAATTACGTGTTGTTGGGCACCCATATGTGGCACTCGATACATATTTTGCCCACACGTGATCTTTAAAATATTACAAGTCAAGTGTCTAAATACTTAGGGTCAAAAAAAATTGAGTCAGTCTACATCAAATGTCTACATTTCCCAGTATGTTGGGGGAGCCTCTTAAATGAACGACGGGCGATCTTGTTTGATTGTGAGCTAATTGTCCAAAAACTACTTCTGAACCCAAAAGTTGCTCGGAATAAAGTTGATTGAGTAAACTTCACGAAATTCCTCCTCTTGTACTGAACTCTGGGTGACAACAGACAGTCACTTGGCTCAAATTAAATAATGGTTGCCTGTTTAGCATAATTCCCTGAGCCATTTTTAACTTACTGTCACAATACAAAAATATGTGCAGCACAATTTGCTTGCTAAAAAAAAAAACTGTGTGTGTACCTGCATGCGCGTGTGTGTATGTGTTTTCTTTGTCTTTGTAGATTCTCAATCATCCAGTTCATAGTAATCCGCAAAGGTCGACTAAGCTACCTGCTCAAAAATACTAAAACACAGACCAGCATAGGGTGGCGGCCCGGTGGTCCAGTGGTGAGCACGTCGACCTCACAATGCAGAGGTACCGGGTTCAATTCCAGCTCCGGCCTCCCTGTGTGGAGTTTGCATGTTCTGCCCGGGCCTGCGTGGGTTTTCTCCAGGTACTCCGGTTTCCTCCCACATTCCAAAAACATGCATGGCAGGCTGATTGAACACTCTAAATTGTCCATAGGTGTGAGTGTGAGCGCAGATGTTGTTGTTTGTCTCTGTGTGCCCTGCGATTGGCTGGCAACTGGTTCAGGGTGTCCCCCGCCTACTGCCCAAAGACAGCTGGAATAGGCTCCAGCACCCGCCGCGACCCTTGTGAAGATAAGCGGATCGGTAAATGAATGAATGAAAGACCAGCATAGGTTTCCACCAGCATATTCTGGTTTTCTTATCTTTGAAAGACCAGCAGTGACAACACAACAAAACCAGCATTTTTGTATACTGGTAGGCACCTACACACACACCAAAAAAGATTGTTTCATCTCCCTAAGTGCTGGGTTATTTAATATTTTACCCATTTTGGGTTATTTTTGAGCTGGGCCAAAATCTCTCAGTCCATGATTCATTATATAAAGTCCACACACTCCTAGCTGGGAAATAATTGACAAGATGCAGCTGCATAAGTGTGCACAACTCATACCTGGGATGCTGGGGTGTTTAGAATTGTCCAATCACATTCAAACTCATGTTAATTAAATACGATTCAGCGCACATTTGTCGCCATATTAAGCGTCCCTGTTTAACGCCAAATAAAACGAGCTGTTCTAACAGGCTTATCCTGACATTTTTGTAGTCACATTTGACAGCAAAAGCCCTTCCACAGCATCACTGCAATCTCCTTGTTCAAAGGTATCAGTCAGGAGGAGAGTACAAAAGTATTTCCGAGCATGAAATAACACCATGGAACACGGTGAAGACAATCATGAAATGGAGAAAATATGACTCTACGGTGAAATTATCAAGAACTGGACGTTCTGCCAAAATTGATCAAAAGACGAGAGGAAAAAGAGGTCAAGGAGGCTGCCAAGAAGGTGACGGCAACATTGAAGAAGCTGCAGAACTCTCTGGCAAGTACTTACTGGCTGTTCATTACATATAACGACAATCTCCCGTCTTCCTTGTGTCTGTATGTCTGGGCTGTGGGATAGTATTGCAAGAAGCCTCATATTACGAAGGAAAAAAAAAAAACTATTTTTGAAATTTCCCAAACATATGCGGGAAAAGTTGAACTACTGGGTCTGAATTCTAAAAGGTAATACGGCTTAAACACAACACTACTCATCTCCAAAAGAACACCATACCTACAGTGAAGGATGGTTTTTTTTTTTTTTTTGCTTTGTATTCTATGTGCTGTTATTTCTATCTTACTCTATTAACAATATGAAATTAAAACATTGTGGTCTTTTTTTTTGAATACTGGACATTTCAGTTCATTTAGTTGGAAATGTGTTTAGGTGCCGCTCTACAGATCTCAATATTGTGAACTATGATGATGATGATAATGATGATGATGTTTGCGGGGGGGGGGGGGAATAAAGGCTGCGGACCGCTGACGGCTTAAAAGAGCAGCCCGTGCGCGCGTTGGAGCCGCGATCGAGCCATGAGCAAGATCAACAACTACACCGTTTGGTCCAACAGCTCCAGTTTTATTAACCTGGACGACATCGACGTCTCCGCGGACGAAAGCCCCGTTCTCAGAGTCCTCATCTGTTCGGTTTATTCCCTGGTGTGCGCCGCGGGTCTCGTGGGCAACCTTCTGGTCTTCTTCCTCCTGGGGAGCAAGCACGAGCGCAAAACGTCCCGGATGAACTTTTTCGTGCTCAACTTGGCGCTGACGGACCTGCAGTTCGTGCTGACGCTGCCCTTCTGGGCCGTGGACACGGTGCTGGACTTCAGCTGGCCCTTCGGAGGCATCATGTGCAAAGTGGTGCTGTCCGTCACGGTGCTCAACATGTACGCCAGCGTCTTCTTCCTCACGGCCATGAGCGTCACCAGATACTTGTCGCTCACGTCGGCCCTCAAGCGCACGGACGCGCAAAAACCCCGGACCGACAAATGGACCTGCGCCGCCATTTGGATCCTCGCTACCGTGGCCACTTTACCCACGTCGATTTTCTCCACCGTGAGCAACGTGAGCGGAGAAAACCTGTGTTTGCTCAAGTTCCCCGGCGGACAGGATTGGCTGGCGGTGTACCAAATCCACAAGATTCTCGTCGGATTCGTGGTGCCCATTTCGGTGGTGTCTGTCAGCTACATCAAGCTTCTGCGCGTCATACGCGTCAGGAGCATGAAGACCAGCAACCCCGAAAGGAGATCGCGAGTCACCAAATCCGTCACCATAGTCGTGCTCTCCTTCTTCCTCTGTTGGATGCCCAACCACGCCGTCACCCTGTGGAGCGTTCTGGTCAAACTCAACGTGGCCAACTGGGACAGAAGCTATTACGTGGCGCACACGTACGTGTTCCCACTCACCGTGTGTTTGGCCCACGCCAACAGCTGCCTCAACCCCGTCCTATACTGCCTCATGAGACCCGATTTTAGGACCAAACTCAGGCTCCTTATCCGCAGGGGTCGCGCGTCAGACGTTTAGCATTTTTTTAAGCTTTGGGGCTGTGCGTATATTACGCGCGGCTATGGCGCGTTTATCACCCATCTATGAATGTTTTAGCAAGCTGTTGCGAGTGACTGGCTCCCGCTTTAATGGACTGGCTCAGTGACGTTTTTTAGATGTGGGGAAAAAGCCTTGCAAATACCACGAATGTGAGGAAAAACACATTTATTTCTCTGGCTTTTTGCAGTTTTTGCTGTGGGTAGATTGTAGGTCTATTTGCGAGTCCAGCTGTCTTCGGGCAGTAGGCGGGGGGCACACTGAACTGGTTGCCAGCCAATCACAGGGCTGGCTCTCTCTCTCTCTCTCTCTCTCTCTCTCTCTCTCTCTCTCTCTCTCTCTCTCTCTCTCTCTCTCTGTGTGTGTGTGTGTGTGTGTGTTGGTGCAGGGTTCTATTCCAGCTACGGCCTCCCTGTGTGGAGTTTGCATGTTCTCCCCGGTTTTGTGTGGGTTTTCTCCGGGTACTCCGGTTTCCTCCCACATTCCAAAAACATGCATGACGGGCTGATTGAACACTCTAAATTGTCCCTAGGTGTGTGTGTGTGTGTGAGCGCGGATGGATGTTCGTCTCTGTGTGCCCTGCAATTGGCTGGTAACCGTTTCAAGGTGTCACCCGCCTACTGCCCGAAGACGGCTGGGATAGGCTCCAGCACCCACCGCGACCCTTGTGAGAATAAAGCAGATCAGAAAATGGATGGATGGATAAATGTGTGTGTGTGTGTGTGTGTGTGTGTGTGTGTGTGAATGGCAAAAGTGACACCATTTGTCCTATGTGAAATGATGAAAGATATCTGTAATACAGTATTAACTAGGTAAAATTGAATTACAGGTATCCATCCCTGTGTGGCATTTCGACTACTGTACCTACTCAGTGTATTCTATTCGTATGTCTGGAATGAAAATTCCAATCATTCAAAGTGTACAGTGATTATGACTAGTCAGAAAGACTTTGTTGATATCAACAAGGTTAATTTGGGATTGTCAAAGTTAGCTTTTCAACGTTAACTCCCCTCGCAGTATCTCTGTCCATCACCTGTGTCGCCATCTCAATCCAATTGGACGAGGCCAACCTTCGCCACAGAGCATGGGCTCTGTTCAAGCTCCTGAGAGGGAATTTTCCCTTGCCTCCGTTGCCAACCGCTTGCTCATGTGAGGTACTTGAAATCACTTAATTTGCAGTAAATGTGCAATGAGCTTTGCCACAGGTTTTTTTTATTTTTATTTTTTATTTTTGTATGAAATTCATGTTTTGTTGACTGTTCCTTGAATAAAACGAGTTGGGTGCAACAGTGATACATTTTCATTTTAAGATGCATTTTATTTTGTTTCCAATTTCAAAGGCTTTGGTGAATGCATGCACGAAAGTTGCGGGGTTCAATTCTATGGGCTTACGACGAACTGAATCTGAATAATATTTATTTGAATTGGAATTGCTAAACTTCATTGAGTGCCTTGAAAAAGTGATTCGGAATAACTGAGATTTATTTGCATTGTTTATTTTGAGTCTTTACTTTTAAAAAATGAATCTGAATTGTACAATTTGAATTCCTCAATGAAAATTCCATTCTGTTTATTTTTTCACATTGTGTTTTACAAATACAAATTCAAATCTTTTCCACACCGATTCAGTTCGTACTTAGGCTGAGCAATCAATTGCAGAACTAAGATCTCCTCTTTGTCCAATCAGCATCTTCGTTTTCAGCACGTGACACAAGCTCTCCGAAGGGAAGAAAGTGATCTTTGTGGTCCAAGCCATCGGATCAGCGAGGGATCAAAAGGACAGTGTGTATTTGGCAACGTATCAAACGGAAGCCCCGTAGTCAGTATGTCTCGATTTCCGGGTTTTTTTCTTCCCAAATCATAACGCCCGAGCAGCATGAAATTCCGTTTCTAAGCGTTACTGACACCCAGCGGTAAAAACAATGCACAGCAGGTACCGACAGACAGTGGGCAAAGGGAGCTCATCCCAGGTCTCTTAAAAATGAGGTGACTTATTTTTCAAAGTACAGTTGGTTAAGAGGCCAAAAAGCATCTCAGCTAAGACTCACATACAATGCATTGTTATTTATACAGCGGTTTCACAACAGCTGCAGCTGTAACAAAGCACTTTACACAACAGTTAACATAAAATAACAAAATATGGTAATATCCTCCTGACTACCAGGAAAAAAAATGTTGTCCAATCACATTTATTTTGAAATTCCCCAATCTATGTGAAGTAATTGCACTCCTCCAAAAGAAATGTTTGAAATTTCACTACAGAGGATATTTTTTAAAGACTTGAATACTAGGCTCAAATACACTTAAAACAACTCAAACAACACTTTAACGTGTTCATAAGAGTCGGCATTTCAAGACAAAATGTGTTTGATAAAAAGTATTACTTTTCCTCTTCCCATAAAAAGTGCTTGCACTGAGGGAAGCCATTTTCTTCTACAGTATTGAGAAGTCAAGGTAACAAAGCCCCCACCCCCTACAAATTTGGTATCATTGGAAAGCACTGAATGTCCTCTTTAGAGCACAAAAAACTTATTGCGTTTGGATGCACTGGGTGGGAGATATTTAGGTTCACAAATGTCCACTACAGAAGACAAATATAAACTACTGGTAGTCAGGAGGATATAACAAAGCACATAAAACATGGACAGCCATGCAACCATAACCATATACCAGCATACAGCTTGTTGTTTGAAGCAGTTCTAGATGAAAGGGGAGAGAATCTAAGTGTCCTTTCACCAGTCATTCAGAGACGTCATGTCTGTTACAACCTAAGTTTGAAAGTAAACAAGGAGCTGTAGCGTTCATTGACGAAAAAAAATATCATACATTTGCTTTAAAATAAAACTGCAGGGAAAAAAATGCTTACGTGTACACTATACACTAAACGTGTGTATTGTTTATGCCTTGTTATGGAAAATTGTTACCAATTCAGCATGTTTGCCAAATTTTTGTGAAACAAAGTCCAGCTCTCTTAAGGCTTTATATTTAGATATTTCTTTATATTGCTTCAAAGTGAGAGTCAATGGAGGGATGTTTCCAAGTAGGTCAAAGAAGTAGTATTGTTTGGACAGGCAACAGGTGTTGGCAAAGAATTTCCTTTTTTTTTTTTAATGTCCTCAAATTGATACTTTTGGAAGCAGCAGGGGTTGAGCCATTTTCTTCCAAAGTGGCAGGGAAAAATTGTTCCAGAGTAAGCCAACATTTATAAGCAAGTAATCGTCCTTTCGCATTCAACTGCTCCTCTCTGCAGTAGGCAAAGCACTAAATAACTAAACTGTAAAACTCCAGTTGAGATAAAACACAATAATAGTGGAGCATAAATAGCAATAATAGTAAATGCCCAAGAGGACCACCGAACACAATAAAAAATCAGTCTAACCTCGTTCTTGCTGGCAAGTTTTGTTGCACACAAAAGTGGAAAGGTTTTGAGCCATTTTTGAAATCAAAAATCCATCCATTTTCTGATCAGCTTATCCTCAGAAGGGGTGCGTTGGGTGCTTTACCCTATCCCAGCTGTCTTTGGGCAGTAGGCGGGGTACGCCCTGAGCTAATAATAATAATCTCATTTTCACAAAAAGTATTAAAAAAATAAAATGAAATAAAGCAGGTAAATCTTTAACCTACTGTGGCCCGTGAACTGCGTCACCTGAAGTTGTTAGCGCTCAGCAGTCTGCAATTGCAGCTTGTGATCAGAGCTGTTGCGCAATATCTTTTATCTTTCTCACTATTCTCATTTAGAGTTTGTTTCGTGTATGATTCACCGAGGGCACGGGCAAAGAATAGGAATCTAAAGGGCCGAGGGAAGCACTTTAAAACGGTACGGGTGAGCTACGATAGTTAACAGGCTGCAAAAGTGCGTCGCATGCCTCCGTGTCAGGCTGTTGCTCATCATGGCGTGCGTGTGTATGTGCTTGTGCGTGCATGCGCGTGGTAACGGGTCGATCGCGGGAGGTTGGTTGATCGAAAAGTCGATCTTCGGTACAAAAAGTTTGGGCACACCTGACATAGACAAACAACTATCCTTACCACATCACATTAACCTGCCATGCATGTTTTTGGAATGGTGGGGGAATAGGAGTACTCTGAGAAAACCCACTAATTGTTAATTCGGCTTTGCTTCTGAATCCTCACTGCTTCCCATCGCTCTGCTTGATTTTTTTATCACGACATGTCCAATTGTTATTTATGACTCTGTCTTTGGCTGAAGGATACAGCTGACATGAGCCTGCGCCATGTGGTCTTTATTTACCTTAAAGCAGACAAAGGATGCATCCAAACCCTTCTTGTTAAACTGGGGGAAATAAGTATGTAGTCAGCCATCAATTGTGCCAGTTTTCCCACTTCCAAAGTGGATTTTTCATCATATGTGTACCTCAACTATGAGAGATAAAATGAGGGGGAAAAATCTAGAAAATGACATTGTCTGATTTTTAAATAATTTATTTGCAAATTTTGGTGGACAATAAGTACTCAGTCACCTACCTACAAGCAAGATTTCAGGCTCTCACAGTCTTGTAACTTCTTTAAGAGGCTCCTCTGTCCTCTTGTTACCTGTATTCATGACACCTGTTTGAACTTGTTTATCAGTATGAAAAATGCCTGTCCACAACCTCAAACGGCCACACTCTAAACTTCAATATGGCTGTCAAAAATTATAGACCTGCGCCAGGCTGGGAAGACCGAACCTGCAAAAATAGGTCAGCAGCTTGGTGTGAAGAAATCAACTGTGGGAGCAATTATTCGAAAATGGAAGACATACCATATTAGCTGATAGTCTTCCTCAATATTTTTTGCGGATTTGGAATGATATGCAGGAGAAACATAGTTCTTGAGTGATACAAAGCGTTTTGAGCGAGGACTTTTTTTTTAATGTATAAAATGATTTTTTTTTCAAATAATGTTGGTTTTCCTTTCAGCATTTTTAGCAGTGCTGTCCTTGAATGGTATTTTTTATGCATGGAAGCGCTTTGCAGTGGAAATAAGAACATCACATTATGTGGTTATATTTTGATTGCTCAAACCCTGTGCCGTTGAAGGTTGGATCTTTTATACAGGTATTGCAACATATGAAAAATGAAATATGTTCAAATACAGTACTATGATATACATAATCTCAATAAAAAGCAGACATGCACGTGCAGTATTTTCGACTATTTAAAATGGCATTTTGGTCATACATTTGGTTAGGGAAGGCGACATGGGGGTTGAGTGGTTAGCGCATTCCTTCTCACAGTGCAGTTTGATTCCGG